TTCTCAAGGTGTACCAGGAGCGGTGCCAGGAGCAATACCAGGAGTAATACCAGGAGTAATACCAGGAGCAATACCAGGAGTAATACCAGGAGCAATACCAGGAGTAATACCAGGAGTAGTACCAGGAGCAATACCAGGTGTGCTTCCGGGAGCAGTGGCAGGAGGTGCTGGAGGTACATTATACCTAGGATCTGTTTTTTCCTGATTTGAAAAATCTCTTAGTCTGAATAGTAAGTATTAGGGTTAGGTTTGATTTGATTTGAAAAATCAGGATTGTCTGAATAGTAAGGTGCTGCTTTTTGTCTTGCAGTGTACCCAGCGGGTCTTAAACCACCAAAATATGGTAATCACTGTTCCAGTATAAACTCTTTATCATTACATTTGTTGTTACAACTAAATAATAGAAAAAAACTATACTGCAATTGCTAATATAATATTGCTAATATAGGAGAAAAATAGCTAAATCACAATTATGATCCTTCTCAAGGTGTACTAGCTGGGGTTGGAGGAGCTGGAGTCCCAGGAGCGGTACCAGGAGCGGTACCAGGAGCCGTACCAGGAGTGATACCCGGACTGGTACCAGGAGGTGCTGGAGGTACAGTAACCCTAAGCTCTGTTTTTTCCTGATTTTAAAAAATCAGGACTGTCTGAAAAGTAAGGTGCTGCTGTTTACCTTGCAGTGTACCCAGCTGGTGTTAAACCGCCAAAACCCGGTAATCACTTTTCCAGTATAAACTTGTTCAGCACAATAATAGAAATTTGTCATTACAGCCAAATAATCTAATATATTGCCATAATTGCTAAATCACAATTATGATCCTTCTCAAGGTGTACTAGCTGGAGTTGGAGGAGCTGGAGTCCCAGGAGCGGTACCAGGAGCCGTACCAGGAGGTGTTGGAGGTACAGTCATGTGAAAAAGAAAGTACACCCTCTTTCAGTTCCATGGTTTTACATATTAGGACACAATAGAAAAAAATCATCTGGTCCTTACCAGGATCTAAAATAATTTAAATCTAACCTCAGGTGTAAAACAACATACAACAGATTCCACCATGTCATTAATTTAATAAAAATGGAGCCAAAATGAAGACACCATGTGTGAAAAACTATGTACATCCCATGATTCAGTAGCTTGTAGAACCACCTTTAGCAGAAATATTTTGAAGTAATCGTCTTCTGTATGACTTTATCTATCTGTCTGTAATATTGCTGTGGAGGAATTCTGACCCACTTCCTTACAACGTTGCTTCAGGTCATTGAGGTTTGTGGGAATTCTTTTATGCACAGCTCTCTAAAGGTCCCGCCACAGCATTTCAAATCAAGATGAGGTCTGGACTTTGGGCCATTGCAACACCTTGACTCTTTTCTTTTTCAGCCATTCTGCTGGAAATTTGCTGGTGTGCTTGGGATCATTGTCATGTTGCATGACCCAGTTTTGGCCAAGCTTCAGCTGTCAGACAGATGGCCACACATTTGAGTCAACTATACTTTGGTAAATAGAGGAATTTATGGTCGCCTCAATGACTGCAAGGTGCCCAGGACCCTTGGCTGCAAAACAAAACCAAATCATCCTTCCTCTACCATCGTGCTTGACAGCTGGTATGAGGTGTCTTTGCTGATGTACTGTATTTGGTTTTTGTCAAATGTGGCGCTGTGCATTATGGCCAAACATCTCTCCTTAGTTCTTGTCATTCCAAAGGACGTTGTTCCAGAAGTCTTGTGGTTTGTTTAGATGCGACTTTGCAAACCTAAGCTATGCGGCCATGTTCTTTTCAGAGAGAAGAGGCTTTTTCCTGACGACCCTTTTCTAACTGTACTGTCATGAACTTGCTAAGTGAAGCCTGCAGAGTAGCTCTTGGGTTTTTTGGGGTGAATTTGCTGGGACATCCACTCCTGGGAAGATTGGCAGCTGTGTTGAATGTTTTCCACTTGTGAATAATCTTTCTCGCTGTAGAATGATGGACTTCAAACTGTTTGGAAATGGCCTTACACCCCTTCCCAGATTGAAGAGCAGCAAACTACCAAAACCTCTGCTTTTATAGAAGTCGTCACACTTGCTAAGGATCAATTAATCAAGTGCATTTGATTATCAGCCCCTGGCTGCTACTTACCCTCTTAATTCCTATGGAAGCACTAAGGATGTACTTAATTTGTCACACACTACGTCTGCATTTTGGCTTAGTTTTTGTTAAATGAATAATGACACGGTGTAATATGTATTGTGTTGCTGTTCATCTGAGGTTGTATTTACCTAATATTAAGACCTGCTAAGGGCCAGATGATTTTTTATTATGCCATGATACATAAAACATTAGAATTGAAAGAGGTTGTGCTTTCTTTTTCACATGACCGTACACATTAAGCCCAAGATCTGTTTTTTTCCTGAAAAATCACTTCATCTGAATAGTAAGGTGCTGCTTTTTGTCTTGCAGTGTACCCAGCAGGTGTTAAGCCACCAAAATATGGTAAGACCTCCCATTCTCAACAGATCCTGATGTTTCCTGTGAGATTCCCTTTATGACTCTGATGTGTTCTGTCTTCTGTGTAGGAGTACCTGGGGCAGCAGGGGTGGCTGTTCCTGGTGCCACCCCGGGGGCGATTGGGGGTCCGTCTGTGTCAGGCGGGATTGTCCCGGGGGGCACTGGCCTTCCCCTTGTGCCCGCTATAAAACCAGGTATTTTATACCACTCAATTTGTCTGGATTTAATACCACACATATACATCAAGCTTGTAGACTTTCATTACAAAAGATCTTGAAGTGACGCTACGGGGGAGCCGGGAATAGCCTTTCTCAGCATTAAGGATTCCCTTAGGAGAAACGGACTATGAACTCCTGGTATTACTCCCACTGAAACCTGTGAAATTAAGGGTCTCATTGATAGCATTGCTCTTCTCCATGTTTAATCCTTCAGCGATTTGGCTTCCAGAATTTGCTCCCCCAGCCCGATTCAGATCGGCACGCTGCTTCTATGAAGACTATGATGTGATTCCATGTTTATTATGTTACTCTTAGGTGTCTTAGTGCCTTTCGACCTTCTTCTCTGTGATCATCTCATCCTGTTTTGACAGGCAAGGATCTGATTTCAGTACCAGGTGGCACTCAGGTCCCAGGTACCTACCGCGATCGCTGCCCCACACTGAACACGACACAGATCCTCGCGCGGTTGCAGAGTTACAGGCTTGGTCTCTGTGCTGTTAAAAACTTTTATTAAGGTTAAGCTGTAACAGACAAATGTCTGGATGAAAGGGTTCGAGTTCTCGTTTCTTCAAACAGTCTCAAACATGACATCTGAAAGTTTTAAGGTGTTCCACAAATTAGAAATGTCCATCATTGATTGCTTGCCGCCAGCTTGCTTCCAGGGATTTTAGGGAATATAGCTTGGTGCAACATGTAGGATTAGCATTCACAGATCATATAGCATGGAGAGTTTTCCATCAGTGTCTGGGCTGGTAATTGAGCAGCGTGCCCAGGCTTAGCTTTCTAACGGCTGTTCCACAAGCTGCGCTGTGCTACACATGTAGGAAGCCATAGCCTCAGCTGCCTCCAGACTCCCCTCACTCTACTCAGACCACCTTGTCAGACCCGCCCCCCTCGGTCACTCCATTGGCATGTCGGATTTTCTACTACCATCTAGGTCAATAGGCAGGTACTGGTTGAAGGTGCTGGACCCTGCAGCTGCTAGAAGCTCCTTTTGCTTTCATATCATAGTGGACAGATGCTGCCCTCATATACTCATAGCACCTCCAACGAGGGTTGAAACCTGTTGTCTTTTGGCAGGAGCGGTGGCTAGTGTCACAACTGGCAAGGCACTTGTACCCAGTAAGACCTGTCATGCTGCATGTACCGTGATGACAAACGTTCTGTGGGTGTCACCTCCCCCTGTCCAACCCCATCTCCCGAAACTGTCATGGGTGTCTAGCAGAACCTCACTAACCTCATTGTCTGTCACTCCCACCCACCCACCCCCGCAGCCAAAGACCCCAGTCTCCTGTTTCTGCTTCTCATGCTTCCAGCCGCCGTCTTGGGTGATGATGCTCCCGCACCATAGAATATAGGGGCAAATAGGAGTTATCCCCCGCAGCAGCAGTCCGGCTCAGTTTCCATAGAGTAATGTTTCCCAGTCCGGTCCTTGGGGACCCACAGTCGGTCCATGGGTGTGTTCTTTCCTGGCTCTGCAAGGACCCGATTGAGAAACACTGCCATAGAGTTAGCCAGCCATAGTACAATGTGCAGCTGGTCGTCAGAGACTTTGCTCAGTATTTTTCTGTCTCTTGCAGGTGGTGCTGGAGGCATTGCAGGTATTTGAATATCCTGTCCTTATATGTATATCTCTGACTGCATGTATTGCACAAATCACATAGATCCCTCTCATCATTTTCAGTTGATACTGTAAGGAACTTTTCCAGTGTACGTTTTGCTTGTAACGATTTACAGAAACAGCGTTAATGATATTTTCTCACCATGTCAGTGTGTGGAAATGTATATTTCAGCAGAGTCCCTTTCAAACTAAGACTGATAGCAAAAGCACACCAAAAACGTGTTTGTTCATACACCAAGACACAATTGTGGTATTTTAATTAAGGTATTTTATTCCAAACTTCTTTTTTACAGCTGGAACAGGTTTCGGTGAGTATACAATCTTCTTTGTGTAAAATTCACTGGATTCAGTGTCCTGATTTAACGCTGAATACGTGTCAGAAGCAGTCTCCTTTTTTGTTGAACTTAGTCACCACTTCAAAAATCTGGGACACCTTAAAAAAAATCACAATAACAACCTAGGTATTTTGCAGTGCTGTAGTACAGTAATGCCTTGTTTTCAACTGACAGTACTAATGTGGTGGTGCCCACTAATGGAGCAATCATGAATCTCCACCTTTTTTATTTTAAATCGCCGGTCCATTCGATTTTGTGCCATGAGGTTATTTCACTAATCTGGGACAGCATCTTACAAGGGAGCATTTCATGGGTCTTTCATTCTCACAGCTCACTAACCATAATCACAGATGAGATGTGTGTTACTTTGTGTGTGGAGTCTATCTTTAGTTGTCAGTTTATTTTATTTCCAGTTGGTACAGCGCAGCAACAACCAGGCGCAGGTGAGTAGCCAGGTTCAGTCATTCCTGTCTTGTAAAATGTGTGTGTGTGTGTGTGTGTGTGTGTGTGTGTGTGTGTATATATATATATATGATACATTGTTATATTTGTACACCTGTTTTTTGTTAAGCAGCGTTTAATTTTATGCCAACAGAGCTTATCTGTTTCTTAAATGCATAAGATGCAATACAAATGCAATATGGCGTTATCACTAACGGCAGTTTTATAAAATACTGTGCAAAAGTCAAAGAAAATGATGTTGAAATGATCTCCATGCTGATGTACAACTATGATATTATGTCAGCTTAACCATTTGAAAACCTCTCCTAAAGTCATTCCAGTGTTTGTAGCATCCATCCAATACACCCATGTATTTTTTGACATGACGACTAACATACCACATATGTCTAATCAATATCTCACTGATTTTTAAAACTAATCATTAAGTGAGCGGAGGTTAAATTTAATGAATACATGGAATGGCTGAGGCCTGCCATCCAACAAGATATCAGTAACTTTGTGGAGAGTAGAAGAAATCCATGGTAGTTTTTATTGTCTTACTCTTAATTAGTATGTTTTGTAATGTTAAATTGTGTTTTTTCTGAGCAAAAATACAGAGATACGTTTTCTTTGACTGCCTAAGACTTCTCCACAGTACTGTACACTTCCAGTAATTAACACAGTCGTACATGACTTAAAGTCACTAACGCCATTTAAACCTAAGTTTGTACCATTGTAAATCAGGGCCGGATTATTTAACTCTACCGCCATCTGCTGGGTCATAGAGTGTACAGTCATTTCTCTTGGGTTTTGTGGCACTGACCAAAGCTGATTCCAAATTCAAGTTGCAGGAAATGTACATATATAATTAATCTGTTCATTATAATAAATGTATCTACAACACGGAAAGTGGATATAATACTATGACTAAAAACAAAAATGGCTTTTAAATACCAAATACACTGAAAATACTTAATTTAATCAGTTTCAGAAAAATGCATGCAAGATTTCATTGGCTGGGGTAATTTAAAACGTTAAAGTCTATACAGAAAAGGCAAGATGTGAAATACTGACGTTTTCGTGGTCAGACAGCATGTCTTACCAAATCTCTGCCACACGAGGGTGCCAGATTCCTTTATATTTAGCTGAATGTGTGAATGTTCAGTTTTCGGATTGTAATTACGATCATAGTTATATTTAATTCTGATCTACAGGTGTTCCTGCTGGTAAACCTCCAAAACCAGGTAATATTTCGATTGGGAGATTAATTCAATTTGATGCAATACTGAATATTTTACACATCCAGTCAGTCCCCTCTGACGAATATTTGCTTTAATTCCCTGTTTAATTTTGCTATCATGATTGCACAATTTACATCTCGGAGCAGATGGGGCCATTTGTTGTGCTGCTGAAATGTTAATGAAGGCTCTTCACCGCGAATTTTACGGGAAATTACAGAACAAATGATTACTGATATTTTCCTTTTTTGGACAGGAAGAAGAGGGCGGGGTTACGGTTAGGTTACCTGTATGATCGTGCGGTTTAACTGAATAAACCCCGACATACTTGGTAGCAGCAAGGTCCAAAGGACATTTTATAGTTGGAAAATACCTAAAGTGACATTGATTTAGAGGTTGTTTTGCCCCTTATTAACTAAGCGGCTGTAGATCCTATCCACCGGGGTCCACTTCAGGGAGGCGGGAAAGGTAGCGCAGACTACAGATGGACACACTTCCGCTCTAGTTGCCATGACAACAGAGATCCACGTCAAACTCGTCTGTCCATAACGGGCCAATCTGCCGAACGCGGGTCCTCGGTTCCCCCATGTGATAAGTCCCGTGCTTCAGCTGACTTTCGCTCTCTCTCTGCAGGTTTTGGTACTTATCCCTACGGTCATGGAAGTAAGTGGCTGAAATCACGGCTGTCCAGGACAGCTTACTGCTGTCATTATGCCAGACATTCCACACCAGGCATACTGATAGCAGGGAGGCGAATAAGAGAAAGTCGGGAAGGGGGGTTCTGGCTAGGCTTGGGCGGTATTATGTTATTATCGCGGTATTGCCCCTCCCCATTCCGGTGTTCTGTCGAGTTGAGATACTTTGTCGAGTTAGGCTAAAGTAGTGCTAATCGATAGCCCTAGCCTCCAAAAAAACCCTAAAACCCTTACCTTAACCCTAACCCCTAAAACCTAACCCTAATCCCAAAACGGTGGAACTGCACATACGCAGAAAGGCTCGATAGCACGTCTCGATAGGTAGCTCGTCAGAACACCGGTGTTCTGTCATAAAATACTACCTATCGAGACGTGCTATCGAGCCTTTCTGCGCATGTGCAGTTCCACCGTTTTGGGATTAGGGTTAGGGTTAGGGTTAAGGTAAGGGTTTTAGGGGTTTGGGGGGGTTAGGGTTAGGGCTATCGATTAGCACTACGGTAGCATTTTTCGACAAGGCAGCATATATCGACAGAACACCGGCTTTGCAAATTCTATCAGAAAATACCGGAATATCCTTGCTGTTAAAATACTAAAAAAATACCATATATAATGTTTGGACTGTATTAAATCATACATTGTGCGAGCCTGGTGCTGAATGAAGGGGGTGGTAAAACTCCTTGGCTAATTTCACCAGGAACTTCCAGGAGAGGTGGCACGTCTGATACAGGCAGGGCTGCACTTATCTGGTACTCAAGTATGCGTTCATCTTTAAAAGCGATACCTGCAGCAATTGATTGTTGTAACGGCGGAAATGAAAGTTATCATGCATTTGAACCTTTATACGATAATTTGTACTTCGGTATAAAGGTTAAAATGCACGATAATTTCTTGTCGTATCAGCGCAATCACATAAAATACATACGCATTTGCAGTGTTACAACAATCGATTGCCTCACGTATTGCTTTTTAAGGTGAATGCCTACTTGTGCACCAGTTACGTGCATCCCTGGTTATAGCAAGGGTGACCAGATAGTCCATGTCAGAGAGGACACTTTCAGCTATTTCAGCTTTTACAAGCTACTTTAGAACTGAACAGCGGTGCTTGGCTAAATAAATCAGGTCTTGTGCGCTGTCTGGTTTGTTTCCCTGATTGAAAGACCCATCCAGCTGTTTCACTTTAACATTAGTGACACATGGGACTGGAGACTGACCAATGAGCACACAGCAAGACCTCAGTGCTGTAGTGAAATCCAGGTCCTTTTATTTGAAATGACAGCTTACACATCCTGACCGAGTTCAAAGTGTTCTCACCCAAGTTATAGCATTAAAACTTTACCATGTCTTTAATGCCCCCTGTCAGACTAACAGCAGAACGTTAGCTCAGTGTTTCTGGGTGTCTTTTTCTCTCAGTTCCTTACACTGGAGTCGCAGGAGCTGCAGGCGTTCTCCCTGGTGCCAGACCTCTAACAGCACCAGGTACCCACATTAACCGGCACATCGTTCAATATTTCCCTCTCAAGAAGCTGTAATGTATCTGGCTCACAAATGAACCCACTTTTAATATTCTGTCATGTGTCAGGCAATACTGAAAGCTTGCATTGGTGTGTATGTGTATATTTGTGGGTGTCTTGGGGTGCGTGTTCTGGTCCATGGGGGGGGGGTGTTCCTTCTCAGTGCCCCTGACATGGCGCCACCGGCCCATTAGAGATGCCTGGGACCCCAAGGGATCCATGGTGTCAGTTTGCCCGGAAATGCCACAGATCCCAGCTTCCTGCCTGTGGATGAGCTTTTCTCTGTAGCTGACAGAAGCCATTCCAGGATTGTAATTTGTACCTTTATCGGGGCGGAAATGGCGGAGCGGTGAAAATTATAAAAACCGTTGTGACCTCCCTGCGTTCTGGTCATTGGGCTTTCGTTTCCTTCTCATCAGCGTCACGTGACCTGCTGTATCACAGGCCTGACTAACCCAATGTGTGATCTTGTAGGTGTAGGATATCCGTCGGGCGTGGCGATTGGAGCTGGTAAACCGCCAAAACCAGGTAAAAGATGTTGTCTGGAACATGGAAACGCAACACACTGTGTGTCCTCAGGAATTCGGAAAGACGATACGATAAGTATCCTTAGGGACACGTAAGCACACAGCACCCCCCATATATAGAGGAACCCATGCAACTCGCATTTCAGTAAATGCAAATGGTTAACAGTGTTGGAAAGACACAAATGAACTGCAGCATAAACAGCGCCACAGATAACATCAGGTTTAGTCACCACGTTTGTTGCGTGGAGCACCGTGACGTCACGTTGGGGGACGGGATCATGCAGGGGTGTGGGATTGGACCTGGGAAGCAGAGCCTCAAAGTAATCTCAGCCTGCCAGCCTCCCCGTCTCTCCCTCTCCCACCGTCTCATCTGCTCCTCTCTCTCATGTCTCCCTTCATCTCACAGGGTACGGCTCTCTGTCCGCTGGATACCAGCCAGGTGAGAAAACAGGACCCAGTCATCCGAGATTTATTTAAATTTGTCCTTTCGGAGCCTCAGCCCTGCGCTGCTGAGGGCCTGCGGATGGTTTTAGGTAGATAAGCGCTTATGGCAAAACTCAAAAGCTCACAAAAAAAATATATATATATATATATATATAAAAGGGTGGGTGGGATGTGTTTCCTGTCAGAAAAGGCATGTAACCTATCTTGTGGGTAACAAAAGTTTAAAAGGCTCAAAAGAGACGGTGGGTAGCATTCAGACCTTGTAAACTGATAGACTTTTAAAACTAACGAATCATTCATCTGCCAATGATGATAACTCAGTAAGCCTTTAAACTACAAACAAAAGACCAAGATTAATTTCTTTCCCCTGTTCCCATGTGTTCACAGTCTCAGCAGGGCTGTTTTTGTCCTTTTGATATTATATTAACATTTAATATTTTAGAATATAGAATGATTTACTGCAATGTAAAGCTTTGAAATAATTCCACATTGTGATATGAGCTGTACACGTGCATAATCAATGAGACAATCGGCGCACGATTTAGCTCCAATTAAATCATCCAGTGAGAAGCCAAGACAGTGTTTAGGTCTTAAATGATTTGTGCTTATCTTGGCATCTTCAGTAAAAATGGAAAAGGTCCCTGTCTGGCTTTTTGCCTAGTTCTCCATGGGGGTCAGCAGAAACCCCAGATGCACAGTTGTACTGTACTTTGCTGGCTTACCCTGTCACACAAACGCACATACACCCAGATAGGGATTTTCTCCCTGCCGAGACCTCTCATTATTCAGAGGTACTTGCCAAGACGTTGGTAGCAAGAGTTACTGTGATTGGTGGGATAGTGCCTGAGGATATGATGTAGCTGCTTCACAGTCTGGAGGAAATGTGTTTAGATGCAACGCTATCTCTGAACTAGGTTACAATCAGGAGTTATCCTGAACACGCTTGGTTAACCTGCCAGGAGTTACTGGTTTGCTTTTCCGGCTCACTTTTCCGGCTCACTTTTCCGACTCACTTTTGCTGACATCATGCGTTTATCTCTTGCAGGTGCCCTTGGTGCCGGTGGTTTCCAGCAGCCTCTCCCAGGTACGTTGCTCCGTCCTTTAAGAAGCAAACTCAAAACAGAATTAAACTGAAAGAAAAAAACGCTGGTGCAACAGACTGGTGATTTAAAGCACAGGGCAAAGTGATCACAATACATGTCAGCAGAATTGGGAGGGGGGGGCAGTCTCACTCTGAAATACATGAACAGATCTCAGGAATTAGGATATAATATACAAAGCAGCTTGTTGTCTAAAGCACACGAGGAATTAATCTCTTTTGGGAATAGCAGTTGATTATGAACATGTAGTACATGTGTTTCATTCCCCAGGGGGCACTATTTCCCATTGTAAACAGCTGCGGAATGTTCACAGAAGAAGTGAGGGGTGATTTTCTAGCTGTGCCCTCCTATCTTGGGTTTAGGACAGCTGGGTTAGGCAGACTGTGCCGCCAGACCCTTTATTAGGATGAGATGGTCACTGGTTCATTTCCAAAGTGTTTCCATTGTCGAGCCGTGGAGGTGGGGCCCTAAGCCCACGTCGCTCCATGGACAGGCTGACCCTGCTTTCTCATTTGCATGCGCTTTAGATAGAAGCATCGACTAACTCAGAGGTGGCGAACCGGATCCATGGAGAGCCGCTGTGGGGGCGGGTTTCTGGGATGACCGCTCAATCATCCAATGACAGTGGGTCCCCAGGACGGGATTCGAGAACCACTGCTTTATTATTGGGTGATTGTAAGGTCACCCCAAAAACCTGCACCCACTGCTGCTGTGCTCTTTTCTGTACTTTCATGTTTGGGTTCCAAATTTCTGATTCAGTAGCTGGCCTTGACCTCACATGAAGACCAAGAGCCTCACGTCCACAGACCTTTACATACTTTCCACTGAAACCTGTGTCATAACGCAATGCGTGTTCCCAGTGTCCACCAGGTGGCAGAACTGAAATTGTTGCTAAATTCAAGAAGCTCCTTGTTCCTTTTTTACTGTGTGAATATGATAGTAAACATTAGGTTCTGCTAGCGGGCTGCCTGTACTGCAGGCTGTGAATGTGCGTGTGTGTTTACCACTTCCTAGTAGACGGCCCTTAGCACGTTAGCAGCATTAGCATCATGCTAGCTTTCATCAGGTAACAGAACGTTTCTCCTTCTGTAGGATTTGGAGTTGGTGGGCCTGCACTCGCAGCACAACAAGGTGAGCGCAGTGAACCTGGACCTGCTCCAGAAGTGCATAGAACCATTATTGCTGTAACAGTGTCCACACCTGAGGTTGCGTTAACCGAATATTTTCCATAATTGACTGAATATTTTTAACAATGATGGAAAAATCTGACAACTGTCCGTCATTTTGACAGATTAGAACACTGTGGAAGATCGACTGTCACAAGGTCACATCCCTGTCTAGTTCGTAGAGAGTGTGCATATTAGCTATTGCCTGATCATGTCTGTGATCTCACACAGAGATGGGGACTCGAGTTTGTGACTCGGACTCAAGTCACACTCAAGTTGCTCTTAAACTGACTCACGAACAATAAGAGTCTTTAAGGCTAGTTCGTAACTAGAGGAGCGTCTGTATATACACAGTGACACAGATCAGCATAGATTGCCATAAATCTGATAATTTAGCAAATATCTCCCAAAAACACCTTTTTGTTTCTGACATTCCCTTCCAAGTCAAGCTGTATTTTCTTGCCTGCACCTCATCACTGGCATGTAGTGTTGTCTTAAATCATTCAGAGTTCAGTCACGCTTTCCGATTTAATGGTTTTTAATAAAGTGAAAACATAAAGCCAGCAAATAATTTGATTGAACAGTAATATCACTGACCGCCCTCCTGTGACTAAAACAGCAGCACGACTGCACACATTATTTTAACTTTTTAACTTGGAGTTTGCAATGTTACTTACTTAATCATTTATTTCATTGAACACGCACACGAGCTGAGAGACAAATTAATTTTATCCATTAATTGGAGCTGTTGCTTTAGAACTATATGTAAAAATAAAAATCCAGATTTACTATAAACATGCATTTATTTTTTATGCACGACAAACAGGGTCTGGGTTATACTCATTGATTAACCAATCACATCACTTTGACATAGCTGGGGGCAGAGTCTGGCTTGGTTTGGTCTGGCTCCAGAGCAGTGCCAGTCTGACACACTTTCAGCACAGCAATTTGTGCATATGCATGCAGTCCAATGTACGCCAAAATTCCCTGCAAGGGATGTCTTCATCATAATGTTATTTTTGAGAAAGTATTGGTTTAAAATCTACATTAGAAAAGTACTTAGGTTCTTACAAATGTTATTGCTTCATTAGCATTTGAAATAGCGATTACTTTGAAAATGTATATAAGCCTAAGGAACTGTGAGACATGCAGTTTTTGAACTGCTCAAGTGCTGAGTATCAGTTACTAATCGCATCAGTTACTAATCGCATCAGTTACTAATAGAAAACATATAGGCTGTTAAATTTTTGATAATTAGTGTCATCAAATTGGAACCACTATGGAGAACTGAGACCAGACTCAGACTCTAATTTTGGGATCATCTCTGATCTCACGTGCATGAAAGTTACATGAAAGTGCTGGAAAAGAGATAGAAGTAGTGGGACGAAAATTGAACAATTGGAATTATTTTTGTACCTCAGTTACATGCATTAATGATTTTTGCTTGCTTCTCCATATTTCTGCATAGGAAAGTTTATTGATAACCAATATTTGTTGTTATCATTGAAAAATGAAAATCAAAATGATGGATAATAATTGATTATGACAGAGTTTTTACAACTGTGTCTGTCAAAATGCTGGGCACCAAGATCATCTAACGAGACCTCAGGTCCATGTCTCACTGATTCCACAGTCCTGCTTATCTTCATGTGTGCTGTGGATATTTCTGGGTTTATCGTAGTCTTGCAGTGGGTCTCAGGGGCTGGATTTTGAGTTTTGATGATGAGATTTTGATATGCAGCATGTTTGTTTCTTTCACTTCCCTTCCCAGCCAAAGCAGCCAAGTACCGTAGCCTCCAGGGATTTCTGGGCGGAGGTCTGGGAGGTAGGAGCCCCACGGCCGCCACCGGCGCCCTGCCGGCCGAGGGATCGCTGTCTGTCGTTACTTGCAGAGGGTAGATAAAACGCTCCACAGCAGAGCAGGGTGCAGGAAGCAGCTTCAGGCTGAACTGCTGTCCGTCTCAGGCCCTTGGCCTGGAGTCGCCCTCCTCGCCACTCGAGTGGAAAGTTCAAGTATCGGAATGTGGAGATAGTTACGTGCGGACCAGCTAATGTTCCTCCCATATTAACGGTCAGCCCTTCACCGAAACAGGAAATGCCACCAAAATAAATTGAAAATGCGCATTTATCTGGTGCTTAACTCCATAAAATGTTAAGCCTGAATGCAGGAATAGCAAAGACCAAGGGACTGATCTCTGACACAGCTTCGAATATTTCATTTCGCCATGTTTAGCCATGGTTTGATACAGTATGAATCCTGGGAAGCCGCACCTTATTTCACGAGACTGCAACTCGCACGCATTGTTATTTTCAAGCGGTTTTTATTGTGTGACACAAACCAAGCGTCTGCGTTAAAATCAGCAGCACGCCGTGACGAGATCTGACCGGCCTGCGATGTCACACCTGTCCCGGTGTCCCCCTCTCTCTCTTCCAGGCATTGGCGGATGCCAGGGCAAATACTGTGGGAAAAAAAAGAAGTAAAGAACCTCTGAAGACATGAAGTGACCTCAAGAATCCATGGTGCTACTGCCTGATGTAGAATGTACATGTTTATATATTACCAAAACAGTCCCTCTTCAAGTACAAATCTGTAACTTTGTTTTGTACACATTGTACTATAGGTTTTTGTTTAACAAGTCCAGTAAAAAATAAAAAAGCCAGAAGAAAGCTAGACGTTCAGACAAAAAAATTAGACAAAATGTTTGCGAAGTTATAAACAACAGCGTGCCTTAGACCTGCTTGCCGCCATTCCCCGTACCTGAAATTGCTGCATTTAAGACATACTTTGTTCCGTTTTAAGTTGTTTGTCCACTGTTTTTTTTTTTTATTGGATACGTTCATTGGTGCTCTCAGTACTTCTAGTAATATCCATTGTGTTCAGCAGAATCGGTGCCTTGTTATTAATAACATAATTAGATTTTACTGTTACTGCTGAGATCAGGTGATTTTTTTTTTACACAATATGCAGCTTTCTGTTGTGTTTTAGATAACAAACATTTGCAGTGTATCCTGTGGGAATAAAAAATAGTGTCTCTTTAATTGTAACAATGCACTTAAAATTGAAAGGAATACTTGGTGCATCAAAGGGCTGAGCTGGTGAGCGATGGCATGTGACCTGGGGAGACTCTGCCTTATGAAGCACAGCTCTAGGATTTTTTCCTCTTGAGTGGGTGTTAGGGTTAGTGAAGCATTTGGTGATGCATCTGACTGACCCCCCCCCCAAAAAAAAAAAAAAAAAAAAGAGATGACTCTCCAACTCAGAGCCACATGGCCAGCAGTCCTCGCGCTTGAAGGGCTACCGTGCAGAGAGCCGCCTGCTGGCCATGCTGTGGTCCTCACTTAAATAAGCTTCAGTAACAAATTCAGCCCAAGTTTTTACAAAATATAATTTTGTTTTATGTAATAGTGGGATTTAAAAAGCGGAATTTAAGGAAAAATAGCATGAGTTGGAATGTACATGATGTATGTATGAATAATTTAGAGTTATTTCCTGCCCTCATAAGTGGGGATTAGGTGCTTTTAATAGTCATCCGTGATTTTTTTTTTTGTTCACGTACAATTACTAATGAAAACTGATGAATAGTAAATCAGTAATTACTTGTTTTGCACCGTTCCTAACTTGACTTTTACACCTTTATAAACAAAATATGTTATACATTTTTTCCGCATTGCCTGTGCTTTTTAGTCACTGTGAAAAAAAATGTAATGTATACCTTTGTTCGTTGTTGGTGTAATTTCTCCATCGCTGTTCTGTCCATGTTTGTTGTCGGAGGATGACCGTAAGAGGAGGCGCGTGGCTATAATATCCTCGCTCGGCGCCGTTTCCATAACTTGGAGGTCACCTTTCACGAAGATGGCGAGTAGTAAAGAGCATCTGCTTCGGATATTTTATTCAGTGCTGCATTTGGACTGTCTTTGAGCCCTGCCAGACCTCTTATTATCTACCAGGGGTTTATTCTTATTTAAAGGGGGTAACCTGGGGGGGACGGGCGGAGGGTATTGCACTTTTGCCACGATGCACATTTGAATACGTCCTGGACATCCCGACCTTATAATTGCTTCAGTAAATAAAACAATAAACTTTTAATACTTTAACTGAATGAACCTTGCGTGTTTATTGTTAGGGTGGGTACAGTTGACACGGTCTCCATGCACAATGTCGATCACACTTGCTTTATAAAGACATCACGCTCCTCTCCACCGCGAACATCGCCTTCGGGCGCGTCTCCCTGCTGCGTGAACGCGCTTCCGTTCCCAGGGAACGCTTTCAGTCGGCCGACTCCGCATTCCCGGCTGCTTTATTTAATCTGGGCCGCCCCTTCTAATGACGACAATGTTTTAAATAAATAAATAAATATATCCACGGAGGCCAGTGGTCATACGTGCCGGTGCGGTCTGATACGGTCCTGGCAGACTAGGCTGAAGCTGCAGTCTCTTGGCTACGTCCGTACTGTCGAAGAGCTCCCGGTAGGAAAGTGGATGAGGTTGATGCTGCTTTGCTGCACCTGGAAGGACGAGCGCATGGGAGAGGAGGAAGGTAAGCCCTCGCCCCATGGTCCTGGGCAGGCTGCACGTTGGGGCCACTGGTCGCATTTCCCGGTCGGTGATGCGAGCATCGGGGTTGGGGTCGGTGAAAGACTCCGAAGGGTCTGGATCGCTTGTGAAATGCGATGCTACATTAGAGGGATGCATTGAACGATGCTGCATCATAGGGATACAATGAGCGATGGCGCGCATGAATGGATGTTGGACCACACGGCAGGGTGCGTGTTTTGCTGCGGCAATCCAGGTGGGTGTCATGACGGTGTGTCCGGTGATAAGGGATAGGCGATGCCATTCCTGCAGACATATAAAACAACTTACGGCCATCGCTGCGAAATCAAGGTCGCAGTGGCCAAACTCGGTGAAGATGCGATGGGTCCTAAAATATTTATGCGACACGATTCATGTAATCAGTTCATGATGCGCGTATATGGACGCAACTGCTCTGCTCTATTTTGCACAATGGTTTTGTTACATAGAGAAATGCACGCCAGAACAAATTTCTCTGTTTTTTACCATTTAGTCGGTCCATAAAGGATATATAAGTCCGTGTCAGATATAATAGATTATTTGCCCAGTTAGATGCACTTTATCTGATTGCCAGGTTCGCCTGCAGCTCAGGAAACAGGAGTTGGATTATTTATTGCAAGCGTTTCTCTGCTGGCAGGGATACAACCAAACGAGCACTAACGTGATTAGACAAAAGTTGCTTTTGCAAGTGAGAAAATGTTAAACGCAGGACGTGTAATCTACGCCCATGTGAAGTTCACCTTGAGGACGAATGTCCCGCTTGGCATTAAATATCAGCATTGGAACACGGATGATAAGAAATCGGTATATACGGGCTAGTATGGTGGCACTCAGAACCTGCGTTGCTGCTTTTGGCCCTTTGAACCTTGCGCTGAAGAGCTCTGGTCCTTGGCGTCTCCCTGTCACGCTATTTAAATTACTTGGTTGTCAGTGATACGTTTTGCATTCTCCTTCGTGCACAGTTAACACCAAACCCAAGAGTATAATCCACAATTTCTTACCAGTCTCAAGACCCGACGATGCGGCTGTAATTAACAGGAGAAGCGCCATTTCCCGAAATACAAGTTTCTTACTTGGATATTTATAGATGTTTTCTTTTTGGTGTACCCCTCTTATCACTGTCTCTTTCCTCATTCCAGGGCCTTAACAGACAGGGAAATTGAGCATTTTGATGGGGCTGGTTTCGTAGAAAAACAAAACAGCAGCTGGTCTACAAGCGCAGATAATCCCAAAGCAGAGCTCAGGCAGAATTTGGGGCCACTGGAAAATAAACACCACCTCCCCCCCCCCCCCCCCCCCCCCACACACACACAAGCAGAGATCTACTGTTTGTTTATACACAAGTGCCATCAGAGATACAGGGTTGTTCAGTTGAGGGTTCACCAAAGCCCACACACACACACACACACACCGTCACACAAAGACATGTTAATTACAGTACAGGAAACTCATCCTCCTGTGTGTCTGTGTGTGTCTGTGTGTTTGTGCATTTCCTGTCATATCAGAGCAGACACTTCGGAAAGACGTGCATGTTTACTGTTCCCAAAATGGGGTGGCTATTATCGCATGGTTATGTGACTCAGTTGTAAGAGGCACACCTAACATCACTAACAGTCCAGCCCCAGCGCGGCCTGTGGCAGTGGGGTCACGTTGGCGTGTGGCCTGTATAGATCGATACCTGGAAGTTGGTGACGGCCGTGTGTCTCTGGGTTCCACTCGTGGGCGTCCAGCACGACAGAGAGCCGCACTGCCCCCCCCTCTGATCTCACTGCCTCCTTCCCCGTGGTTCTTGGCCCGTGAATCTGCTGCCTTGTCCCTTTGCTTCTGATGACGCAGGATTTATTTATTTACTTATTTATTTCTGTGCCCCTCCCGTGTGTCCGTCTGTCCGCAGCCGGCGAGAGCTTGCCCGTGTGTGCAGGATGTCAGCGCCGCATCTACGATGAGCAGTACCTGCAGGCCCTCGATACAGACTGGCACACGGTGTGTTTCAGGTGAGTCACATGACCACACGATGATGCTGCAACTGTGGACCCCCCCCCCCAAATCTGGTTCTGTGTACTTTCTGCGCATGCAGACAGAGGTTGGTTTGACGTGGTGTGATCTATGTAATATAAACGGCGATTAGGATGCGTAAGAGGGCTATCTGGGGGGCCTGAGGTTACCTGCTACCAGCACAGCCTGTTCAGAGCCCAAACGAATGGGATTCCCGGCAATCTTGGGGCTTGACGGTGGACTTCGAGCTGGGTGCTCCCTGCTTCATTGTGCCGAGATTAACATCCCTGGATTATCCCCGCTGATCCCGGACACAATGCGGTCATGTGTCTTACGGCCAGTGCGAGGAAGGGGCCGGCTGGCCAGCGTCCAGCATGCACCCGCAAAGGCCTTTCTGTCCGTCGGCGGAGCCGATCCGATTTCGCAGCTGGGTGCGTGGGAGTGAAAGTTGTGAAGAATCGCTCTTGTCACTGACAACTGTTTACAGATTCCCCTTTTCTGAGGTTCTACTTCAATACATAATTCATCTGCTAATTAGATTAAACTCGCATTAAATATCACATTAATATTCGTATATTTTCAGTTTAATCGATAATTGCTGGGACACTGATTACCTTTGACACCTGTTCTTCACCCCCCCTCCCCCCCTGTAGCTGTTGCTCCCCCCCTCAGACCTGAGTGTCCATCTGTGTCCCCCCTCCCACCGCCATAATGGAGACTGACAACCAGATTAGGGAGATGCTCTTTTCTGTCATGTTTCTAATATATATTTTTTTCTCGACTTTTTGGTGAACGCTGAAGAGTCCTGGGGGTTTCCATGGTGCCTGTCAGGTCACGTGTTCCTAGCAATTTGCAGGCGTGTGCGTTTGTGTTCGTATACATATATGAGCGCTCTCCGTCACTTGGGTTCTTGCATCCGCCCTGGAAGGAGATTCTGATGGACAACACTGAACAGAACCTGCCCCAGTTGAAGGCTCCGGGCTGAGAATTAAACCCGGGTCATCACTCATTCCGTTCCCTGGGTCTTGCTCTGACTGCTGGCAGCATTAGTCATGCTCATTAAGGCCCTGGTGGTGACGGCCTCGTGCAAGCCGTGTTCTGGTAATGACGGGCTGCCTGCCTAACGGCCTCGTGCGGGCCGTGTTCTGGTAATGACGGGCTGCTGGCCCATGCAGGTCTGCGCCCAATCCAGATTGCCCAGGACAAAACCTGGCTTTGACTCTCAGGACCTTCACAGAGCCAGAACCCTATTCCTCATCTCTGTACCCCAGTAGAGATCCATGACCTACCAGCCTCCCTGCCGTCGCCCTGCTGATCGCTGCCCCCTATTGGCGTGAATATGTCAGTGCAGGATACTCCGTGCAGAGTTCCCTTTTCATTGTGAGCCTGCCTGCCTGCTCTCCTGCCTCCCTTTGGTTCTTAGTCAGAGGGATATTTAAACACAAACCCAGCTTGCTGTAAGTGTCATTGTATATGTGATGACTCCTTTGTGATGTTAATACATGCACTTCTAATTTATGCTTAAATGATGATGTAATGTATCGTTCAACTAATATACCAAATACACCTGTAACTGTTGGCTCACCAGTGTTTTTAGGTTGTCAGAAAACGTCAAATTCACCAAGAAGTTGCAAGTGACACAGATCTACAAATATTTCCTGCCTGCATATTGACTGGCTTTTCCTTTTTTTTGGGGGGGGGGCAGCCTTCCTAAATGTGGGAGTGATGATTTCCACCCAGGTGAAATCGTCCCGGTTCATACTTCCTGAGGGCCCTTCGGGTCCTCGAACCCATGATTGCTGTGCTGAGGGGTCTGCTTTTGAATAGCAGAGAGGCTGAAAATTATTCTTTATTCAAAAGCAGATGGGTGTCCTGGGGGTTGGGGGCAACTCGCCCTCAGAGAATCACAACCCAGCTGAGATCTGTGAGAATGCAGCCGTCACACTGTGGCCCCAGTGCAGATCTGGCTGCTGCCCCCAGGCCTCTTGGGGCAGACTTAAGGGGCCTGGAGAGCGAGTCCGTCACTCTTTGGAATGGGGGGGGGGGGCGGTTATTATGAGCACCACTGGCTGAATACAGATCACAGTGCTAGATGTCTACCAAAATATCATGCTCAGAGAAACTGCATCCTTCCAGTGAGCCAGGACCTGGGATCGTGGCCTGTTATCTGTGCCGTTAACTTGGTGTAGAAGAGGATAGACTGGGGGAGCTTTAAGCTCTGTGACTGCAGCACTCCGCTCCTTTTGGGTCAGTCACCCACCTGGAGTCCGTTTTCTGCTCTGTCAGGATTCGGTGCCTCTTGGTGCCTGTATGCCCCCCCACTCTGCCGCTGCAGTTGTCGTGCACAATCCAGCCTTGCCGTGCAAAGGACACGTCCTGCGTCACGTGACCGAGCACTCGGCCTCCGCAAGAGGAAGTCGCTGATGGGACCGTTTCCTCTCTCCCTCTGAGTGTTTCATCACGCAATAAGTGATTGCGAATCAGTAAACGATCCAATAGTTTTCCGGGACACATTAACCTGCCATTTTGTGGATTAATGGTTTTTCCCGCCGTGTTAGACTCTGTCGCGGTCCGTGGGCAGGACCGTTGGTGCGTTCGCCTTGGAGTCGGCCTTCTCTTCTGCGCATTGTTATACGTTTGGTTATATTGCTGACTTTTATGTCCAAATAAAAGCACCGTTTCTCGGCATCTAGATGTTTTTTCCGGAGTGGTTTTGTCCCTGCTGTATGATTCCCGGCGGGTTGTGGGTCTGTGTTCTTAAACATCCCTCCACGGGCACAGTAGAGCTGCCATTTCTGGGATTCTGGACCTCTGGGTGAATTTAAAGCCCCGAATTAAGCAGCTTTTGTGGGGTTGGTTGGACGGTGCCGGAATGATCTAGAACCCTCCCTCCCCAGTGTTTATTTAAAGCTGCGTCTGTCTCCTGGGGCTGGCTGGTCTTGTGATGTCCCTGTGCTCATGGTTTCCAGTTCCCTGGTACAGCAGTGGTTACCCGTCCTCCGGAAAACTCAAGGCCATGGGAGAGGAGAAGCCGGATTCTGAAGTAGACCGTCTCATGGGGAGAGGCGATGTGGCAGGGAAGCCCCGCCTCCCCATCACCAAGGAGACGGCAGGCCCAATGAAACTGCACCGAGAAGAATGGTGCTTTCAGGACCCGAGAGTCGGAGAAGCAGCTACAAGTTGGAGCATTCCGGAACATCGGCGTTTCACTAGGACGGCCGGTGGTTGCCCATGTCCAAACGACTCCACCCACCTGCTCACTTAGCGCTTTGAACCTTGTGATTTTTTTTCCCCAAAAAACATGGGTATTATACAAATCTTCCTGCGAGTTTTTAAGTTATTTTACAATATAATGAGAGCAGAATGATGGACTGTCATGCTGTCCCTGCAGCCTGGACATGGATGGATGGATGGATGGATGGATATGACCTGGGGCAAATTTAGGAGAGTGGAGGTTCCTGGGCTACAGTGATTGTTGGGGCCACCAACAGTATAAAGTCTGGCCTGGAAAGGAGAAATCTATGTTAGCTGTAGCGTCTTGAGACGTACTGGGGGGTTTGCGAACGTTTCACACGGGGGGGGGGGGGCAGTGTCCATATGGATGCTCCTGGGAGCGATGCCACACTTTTTGTGCAGTTTTGGAAATTGTTGCGCTAAGTGAGCTCATCTCCCCCCGCACAGAGGTTGCGTCACAGGGCCCAAAACGGCCGATATGGCCTCATCCTGTTGGGGGGCGAGGGGAGTTCGTGTCATCGGGTCACGGCTGCTCCCAAAGGAGGAAGCGGTGGAGCAGCATGGGCCCCCTCCCCTCGCAGCGGTGCCCGCAGCGTGACGCTTTCGCTCTCTCTCTCCCTCTTCCGGCTGCGCCGCCTGCCCTAAATCGAGCTAAGGTTTCCTGGTTGTGCCGAGAAGCGTCTTCGGCTTGGAGGAAGCATGATTCGGAGGAACCGGCTGCTTAGGGGAAAGTAAGTCGCCGTGTCTCGAAGGACGGAGAAGGAGGGGAGTGGAGCAGATGGCTGGCCGTCCCCGTGTCACGCCGTAATGATCTGATCCAGGTCTGGCTGCTTTCACAGCGGCCCGGTGCTGTGCTGAACCTGTGCTTGCAGATGAGAGGTGCCGTCCGTTTCTGAGAATTTGTCTGTTGTTCGTTTTTCACGGTTGTAGTCTTCCTGTTTTACTGTTCGTGTTACGGCTGCCGTTGGCGTGGGGAGGAAGTTGATTTCAGGATGTGTGTGAGGGAGGGTGTGAGCTCGCGGTTTTGGGAGTGTGCCCCTCTGGGTCCCGACGCATGTCACCGTCCGCTGACACTCTTCAAAAACACTACGAGGTGGCGCTGAGCACGACTTTCTGTTTGGGGACCTGCCGACATCCTGGGCATTTCAGCTTCTCTGCACTGATTCAGCCAAATGCAGCTATGAAGATCAGATAATTAGTCAGTTTGTTGGTCGGATTAATTAGACTGTTTCACTGCACTGATGGAGCAGTTTGAACACTTCTTATTCTGTTCAGTTTCTGAACCAGAAAGCAGCTTGGTGTCTGTGTCCCCGTGTGCAGGTGTGAAATACCACAATCATGGCTGCTGAAATCTCTTCAGTCAGACATAGGGAGCAGAAGTGAGGTGTCAGTACTGCTGAGTACTGCTGAGTACTGCTGAGTACTGCTGAGTACTACTGAGTACTGCCCCTCAGCTGGCTGGTTGATGCAGGTGTTTTGCTACAGGGTGTCGGTTTCATGTTGGCTTGTTGTGCAGCTGCAAGTTTCTTTCATTTTTTTTTTTTTTTTTTTTTTTTAAATGAAACAATGTAAACCAAGCCTGACGGATGGGTTTATCCAGATCTTTACCCACAATGCCCGTGGGCTTTTCCGCTGCAGGGCGTCTGTGTTGTTGCTGCAGGTTTTTAATTTATTTTTAATTAAATGCAACTGTTTAAATCAAGATGCACAGCCTGTTGGGTGACTAGGAGAAGGGTTTACGCAGATCTTTACCCACAATGCCTGTAAAGACGCGCTCAGTCTGGCGAGTGGGCGCTATAGACCTTGCGTGGCCAGTCAGGCCTTTTGTGCTGAGATTGGGGCTGGGGAGGGCAGGCCAAACGCTGACAGACTGACCGATGACCACCTCTGAGGAGGCAGAAAGCCAGCCAATGGGTAAACTTATGGATATCAATTAACTGAAATTAAATGGGAGGGAGATTAACTAACTGTGGGTCGATGGAGGGGTCAATAGAGGCCGGAGAGCTGACCGCAGGAGTGGGCCTTGCTGATGGAGACAGCAAGCCGGCGGGGAGCGGGAGCCATTAGCGCGGGCGGCGATGTGCCATTACTCTGGTGATGTGCCATTACTCTGGTGATGTGTGCGGTTGATGTGTTTCGGTTTGAAGGCACACGCCCGGCACCCCTGTGGGACGCGATCTAATGTCCAACCTGTCAAAATCAAAAGGGCATGGAGGGAAAGTCAAGCTGCAAAGAGTTAAAACTGTAAGTGATGCAAGATGGCTGCCCCCCCCCCACACACACACACACACAGATGACCAGCTCTGCCCTTTCTGTTGAAGTTCTAGTACCATGATCTAGGTGACTTGAGTTCCGTTTTGAGCCGAAGGTGTTGTTTCCCCAACGCAGGAAGACCGACTGGAGCTCCTCCACCCCCACCCCAGCACTCCTCTGTTTATTTACAGCCCCACTGTAGTGTAAACTCTCCTGGGGAGTTATTGTGCTCTGCGGGAATTGGCTGTGGTATTTTCGAGTGGCACAGTCGGAGCGTGTAGCAGCACAGATGACAGCGGCAGACCCACTCAGCCATGGGGGGGGGGGGATCTGCTCCCCCCCCCAGCCTCATACCCAGCGGGACCTCAGACAGAGGATGAAAACCTGAGTGCACATTCACTGTTCTGGGGTCAGTTTCTCTTCTGGCACATCATTGTCTTCCTTCCTCTAAATTACAGAGCCACCCTGAAGAAAAACAAACGATCCGCTTAGTTTTTGTTCGTCCTTTTGGCCGCGCTTACGAGTCCTGGGCTACGTGTATCTGCAGCGCGGCATGGCAGGGGTTAATGCAGATCAGCTGAGCCTGCAGCTCTTACAACAGCTGCTTCCTGATTGGACGCTGAGCGTCCTGTAGGGAGGGGCCACGCTCAGCTGTGAACTTCCTTTATTCTTTATTGCACAAGGATGCTGCCATCGGTCTTTCCCATTCAGCAGTGCGACTGAGGATGTGCGTGGGGCGGGATGGGGGGGGGGGGGTGTACCGCATGATAGGGATCCTGGCCCATCGTCATCCTTCTACAAAAACCCCCCCTCATCTCGCTGCCCCTCCTCCTCTGTCATGCATATTAGAAAGGCTCCGTTAATCCAGTGAGATTCTAGGAAAACGAAACAAGAGAAAATCTCCCCACAAAAGCAGTGCTGTTCTCCAACCTCCTCGGAGCCAGCTGTCTCCCCGCCACCCTTACGTGATGGTGCGCAGTGAAACTGTATGAAAGCACAGCCAGGCTGTATTCCTGACCTGTCACTCAGAGCACAACGCTAAGCTCACGATTACTATTCAGCCACAAATCTGTATGGAATTAATCACCCTGGCTGGGAGTGTTTGGACGGAGATGTTATACCTGCTGCTGTGTCGTCTTGTCAGTGATGATCGTGATATCAGCTGCAGATCTGATGGACCCTAAAGCGTCTTTAAGGTGACCTGAATGCCGCTGTCTGCGTCACACCGCTGAGCTCAGCAAGCACACTCTGCTTTTTCTTGCCTTCTCTACCCTGGAGGACAGCGGCCAAGGACGCGGCTTAGGGATGTCGGGGTTAAGGTGTCTCCTCGTGGGCCGGACAGGAAGTGCAGGTGGGCTGGAGCAGAGAAATCGCATCACCCTTGCCCACTGCCACGCGTGGCCCAAAATGCGCCGCACTGAGGTGCCGCTCAGACCCAGAGCTAGGTGTTGACACATAGGGGAGGGCTCTAGCCTGGAGGGTCCATGAGTTTAGATACCAGTAAGCATGTGGGAGATCTTCCCTGTCTTGTGTAATTGGGGAAAATCCCTCCTGCTCCCTATACCGTCACAGGGACTGAGCCTTGGGACCAGGTGGGCCTCCCTAGGGTCTGGAAACTCCAGCCCTTTGGCCAACGGCTGGGGTGTGGGGGGGCTGGGGTGCAGGGCAGCAGAAGCAGCGGCATGACTCTGAATGCGTCACCGACACGCTCTCTCTGCCGTGACAGATGAGTCCCCTCTCAGAGCTCATTCTTAGCGCCCCCCAGGATGCGTGCTGGCGGTGATGCCACATGACAGAGAAACTCCCCTTCACGTCACCAAAAATCCTCTCAGAAATGAATCCCCCTCTCAGCATCCCGGCAATTTTTTTTATGCTCCTCAGAGCTTTTTGTCTGTCTTCCAGCAAACATGGTGACCGGCAGCCCTGTCAGTC